ACTTTTTATCTTCCAAACGTTCAACCTATGCCCGACTGTAAGCCGAAATAACAGAATTCAGATGTTTAAAACTGTCAACGACAAAACCCGGTTACTGTAGAAATAAAATGCTGTAACCTGGCATATCGGGATGTGTTCCAAATCAATCTTCTGTATAATGTCTGGTAACAAGTCATATTCGGCACCTTCAACATCTAAGAACAGGTAGTCAATATTTTGAAGCCCAAACAGCTGTATCAATTTCAGCATTGTTACCGTTGTAATTTCTTTCCATATATATTTGCCATCAATAAGCATCGATGCGTTAAATAAGCCGCCATTTCTTGAAATGCCTAACTGTTGAAAAAAAAAGATTGTTTTATTCAATGTCCTTTGAACTTTAATTAAATTCTTCAGCCATTTAATTAACTCATTTTACAGGAAATATCATACAATAACTGTCTGTGTTAGTCACCACTCAATTAACTCACCGTTGCCAATTTCCGCAGTAATTATTTTTCTTTTTTCTTAAAACAACTGCAGAAATAAATAAATAAATAAATAAAGCAAGAAAGAAAGAAACAGAAGTTAATAGAAACCCAAACAGAGAAACTAAAGTTCACACCTCACTTACAGAATTAACCTCGCCAAATAAATAACTGTCTCAGTTCTTGCGCCCGTTCTTACACTATTACACCGATGAATATAAATTTAAAGATGATTATTACACTATAAGAAAACCTTACTTGAAGATATTTTCCAATTTTTTCAAAAACATGGCCGTCCTCATAAAGAGGATCAGCACCAAAAAATTTTGTATTTGGGAATGCAGTTTTAAGTCGTTGTTCAGCCCCCAAATCATTTCCAATACCGACGGTTAATGATGTAGCAACTTTATCTGAATATATCGGTATTATAGCCTTTACGTCATCCTAAAAAATTCATATTCTGAGAACATAAATTTAAGTAAATTAGTTGCTCTGTTTGATATTAAAAAAATACCAGAATTACGGCAATATGGAGCTGCAACTAAGCAATTTTTACAGACACTTTTCACCATCACATTTCCATTTTCTCCTTAATTTTTGTTAACAACTGAAGCCATCACATAAACAAAAAAGTTGACCAGAAACATACTATACAACATATACAATTAGTTTATAAAAGAATTATTGAGAAAAATAAATGAAGAAAAATAAATCATCTAACATTGTTGATGAGGTACTTGGCATAAAGAAGGCTTTTAAGATATTCCACACCACATATTTCAGCAATATTGGGAATTGAATTCCATAAATCCTGTTTCTCAGCAATCTTAATTGCCAAACATTTTTTCAACTTTATTGCCATAGTAAACCATCGAGGACATTTTGCAGTATCAAAGTCTTCAATCACCGTTTCCTGTAATCAACGCATACCAAACAGTGCCTAACAGATGACGCATTAACATAAAATCATTAGTTCAACTAACTGCAAAAATTCTTATAAATGTAAAGTAAAAATTAATTTCAACTTGAATGCCAAATTTAATACTTGAAACTTGAAAAATTATTTTGGTTTTTACTACTCCAAAAAAGACGGCGATTCATCTTGCAGTTAAAAAGATCTAAAAGCGTTATAAAATTAATTTTTGTTAAACACTAAAATAAAAGACTAATTGTCAAATTAACCAAGTTTTTTTTTTATTTAATAAAATATACATACAACATGTAAAAGTTGATAAAATTAAAGCATTTGAGGAGAAAAAGAAAAAAAAAAAGAAAACAATACCAGCCTTTGTAGGTCTACAATTTCGGTTTTTGAAATTTTTTGTAAACGACTGTAACTGCTCTGCTTACTGTCCAACTTCCGTGATGACTGACCAGATTCCGATATAAAATTGAAAACACCAAAAATCAGAAAAACAACAGGTACTAACCATAATGTAATCAAAAGTTTTCGTATTCGCATTGTAAGGTCCAAAATTTTTATGGACCTCAAAGCATCAAGTACTGAAGCTGAAATGTAATCATTTTAGTAGAAGATAAATCGAAAAACTTTTTAATTTTACTGTCAAAGAATTTTTTTGAAAATTTAATAAAAAAAACACACACAGATACGAGAAGAAAGAGAACTCTGTGAATATAAAGTTGTCTATAAAGGTTATTTGCAGGACAAACTACAAAACCTCCAGTATTTCCTCGTCCAATTTTTTTCCAACAAAAATACAATGTAACTTTTTTTTTCAGCAAAAGAATTAATAATGCGCACAAAATTTAAATAGTAATTAATAATCCAATATTAATTTTTTTTTCTTTTAATCCTTAACCTATTTTGATTTTTTTGAAGTAAAACTTTGTTCTTAAATTTCTTTCACTTTTCTTACATTCATT